CTCTTCGGCAACATCTCCTACGGCTGCTCAGCTGAGAACCTCGACTATTGAGGTGACCGGATCCACCCCGATGAGGCCGCATTCCACTGTGGAGACTGGCTTCACGTCTCTTGAAAATCAAACCACGCCAACCTTCAGCAAGGTTTCTCCCACGAAGGCTGAGCTGACCTCAGCAGAAATGACCAAAACAGCTTCACCACCATCCGAGTCTCCCCTGGCCATGTCTCTTTCCATGCAGACTGTATCCTCTCCGGCTCGGACCTCGCCGCCATCATCTCCCTCGGAGACCACCATTGCATCCCACGAAACGAGTTTTATTCATGCAGAGTCCACCCCAACGGAAGGAAGCACCACCTCTTCGCTCCATTCGGCACAATCAAGCACTGCAATCCCAGAAACCATGTCCTCCGCAGAGTCGGTGGCCTCTATTGTCACCACGACCGCTGCTGTTGGCATGACTGAGCTAACCTCCGCACAGGAACAAACCAGTCCCTCCCTCGCCCCCTCTTCTGCCAGGCAGCCGAAAGGAACCTCACGGCAGGAGACAACAACTCAACCCCCGCCTTCTGGCTCTTCCACAACGAAACCGGAGGTGAGCTCTGCCCGAGGCACCACCGCTTCTACGCCAAATTTTTCCCCTTCCACTGACCACTCTTCCATTGCCCTTACCGAGGAAACCACCGTCTCCTTCCGGTCTCACAGTCCTCCAGCCAGGGTCGAATCAACAGCAGCTGAGGGGACCAGCCCTTCCTTCTCTTCGGCATCTTCTCCTACGGCTACTCAGCTGAGAACCTCGACTATTGAGGTGACCGGATCCACCCCGATGAGGCCGCATTCCACTGTGGAGACTGGCTTCACGTCTCTTGAAAATCAAACCACGCCAACCTTCAGCAAGGTTTCTCCCACGAAGGCTGAGCTGACCTCAGCAGAAGTGACCAAAACAGCTTCACCAGCATCCGAGTCTCCCCTGGCCATGTCTCTTTCCATGCAGACTGTATCCTCTCCGGCTCGGACCTTGCCGCCATCGTCTCCCTCGGAGACCACCATTGCATCCCACGGCACGAGTTCTTCTATTCATGCAGAGTCCACCCCAACTGAAGGAAGCACCACCTCTTCGCTCCATTCGGCACGCTCAAGCACTGCAGTCCCAGAAACCATGTCCTCCGCAGAGTCAGTGGCCTCTATTGTCACCACGACCGCTGCTGTTGGCATGACTAAGCTAACCTCCGCACAGGAACAAACCAGTCCCTCCCTTGCCCCCTCTTCTGCCATGCAGCCGAAAGGAACCTCACGGCAGGAGACAACTCAACCCCCGCTTTCTGGCTCTTCCACAACGAAACCGGAGGTGAGCTCTGCCCGAGGCACCACCGTTTCTACGCCAACTTTTTCCCCTTCCACTGACCACTCTTCCATTGCCCTTACCGAGGAAACCACTGTCTCCTTCCGGTCTGCCAGTCCTCCAGCCAGGGTCGAATCAACAGCAGCTATGGGGACCAGCCCTTCCCTCTCTTCGGCAAAATCTCCTTCGGCTGCTCAGCTGAGAACCTCGACTATTGAGGTGACTGGATCCACCCTAATGAGGCCGCATTCCACTGTGGAGACTGGCTTCACGTCTCTTGAAAATCAAACCACGCCAACCTTCAGCAAGGTTTCTCCCACGAAGGTTGAGCTGACCTCAGCAGAAGTGACCAAAACAGCTTCACCAGCATCCGAGTCTCCTCTGGCCACGTCTCTTTCCATGCAGACTGTATTCTCACCGGCTCGGACCTCGCCGCCATCATCTCCCTCGGAGACCACCATTGCATCCCACGAAACGAGGTTCATTCATGCAGAGTCCACCCCAACTGAAGGAAGTACCACCTCTTCGCTCCATTCGGCACAATCAAGCACTGCAGTCCCAGAAACCATGTCCTCCGCAGAGTCGGTGGCCTCTATTATCACCATGACCGCTGCTGTTGGCATGATTGAGCTAACCTCCGCCCAGGAACAAACCAGTCCCTCCCTCGCCCCCTCTTCTGCCATGCAGCCGAAAGGAACCTCACGGCAGGAGACAACAACTCAACCCCCGCCTTCTGGCTCTTCCACAACAAAACCGGAGGTGAGCTCTGCCCGAGGCACCACCGTTTCTACGCCAACTTTTTCCCCTTCCACTGACCACTCTTCCATTGCCCTTACCGAGGAAACCACCGTCTCCTTCCGGTCTGCCAGTTCTCCAGCCAGGGTCGAATCAACAGCAGCTGAGGGGACCAGCCCTTCCCTCTCTTCGGCATCTTCTCCTACGGCTACTCAGCTGAGAACCTCGACTATTGAGGTGACCGGATCCACCCCGATGAGGCGGCATTCCACTGTGGAGACTGGCTTCACGTCTCTTGAAAATCAAACAGCGCCAACCTTCAGCAAGGTTTCTCCCACGAAGGCTGAGCTGACCTCAGCAGAAATGACCAAAACAGCTTCACCAGCATCCGAGTCTCCCCTGGCCACGTCTCTTTCCATGCAGACTGTATCCTCTCCGGCTCGAACCTCGCCGCCATCGTCTCCCTCGGAGACCACCATTGCATCCCACGGCACGAGTTCTTCTATTCATGCAGAGTCCACCCCAACTGAAGGAAGCACCACCTCTTCGCTCCATTCGGCACACTCAAGCACTGCAGTCCCAGAAACCATGTCCTCCGCAAAGTCAGTGGCCTCTATTGTCACCACGACCGCTGCTGTTGGCA